TTACGATATAAATTTTATTTGATTATATATAAATAAATTAAAGTAATAATGTTTTTGAAATTTTAATTTTTTTAGTTTTATTTAATCTTAAAATTACATTATCAATATCAAGAGTAACATGTAAATTTTACGGATTAAAAAAAAATTGTTGTATATATCGTTGATGTAAATCTTGAAAACACATTGGGCTAATAGGTTTATATCGATTAGAATTTTTAATAACTTTAAATCTAATATTATTCTACTTATGCTATCCATTTGCATTTCATTTCTCAAAAATGGGTTTGGTTATTTGATGGAGCTGAATAATGGGCATATCATCTAGTCCACGTGGATGCCATCAAACTTCATGTCCCCTGTTATTGCTCTCTGCTTGGGATCATGCTTCATTCGATTCAATTGATTTCTTCTTCTTTTGTTTAATTTCTACTTCCACTCCACTTGCTAATTTTTGCCGGTTCCAAATCATGTGTCAATATAGTAAAGTTTCACTTAAATAAAACTAGGAAATTTTTACTAAATAAAAACTTCAGTTTTGTAAAATTCTCTTGAACCAAAACGAAAATAGACATTATGCTTTCGCACAAATGTGAGAGGATTCAAATTCCTCATTTGACGGGTGATTTACCATATAAACCAGGTACAATATATCTCATGACTTTCTTCAAATTAAATTCAGCAAAGTTTGAAATAAAAATAAAATAAATTTATGTACTATTTTAAAAATATATTTAATGTAGCTTAGAATGCTATTTTAATAATCTGTAATAATTTTAAATATAAGTTTTTATTAAAATAAAATTTTAATTTTATTGAAAATAATATTTAAAATATTTAAAAAATGATAACTTGAGTTTTCTCTTAAAAAACTAGTAATCAGTATCTAAAAATAGTTATTAAAAAATTTAAATAATCATTCTAAAATAAATAAAAAGTATAAAAAATACATTAATAATATTTTTAATTTATTTTTATTTTTTTAATTACTAGACTAAGAGTTTTAATTAATATTCACAAGGAAAACAAAATTGGAGAGTTTGGTGCCGGCTAGAAGTCATGTCTGTATACATTTTATTATTATTCTCACGATATGGTTGTGGTTGTATTGTCGGATATATTGAGTTTTCTTTTTATCTTTAATTTTTTAATTTGAGCAGTAGAAATCGTAGTAGTGTCTGGAGACATCGTTTTATATTCACAGGATGAGTGACCTCAGTGGTTGCATTGTCCGAATATATTTGTTTTCAACCAAAATCATTGCAATTTTCTTTTATGTCACCCGACATCTAATGTCCAATTAAATATTAATACGACTAAAAATAAAAATATGTTTATGTCATTGGCATTTGATGTGTATATTTTTAGATTTTCTCCGTGGATTGCTTCTTTCTCTCCTTTTTTTATTGTACTTTATTTTATTGGAATATTTCTTTGTTGGACTTATTGTGACAAATTAATAATTTTTTGTAGACTTTCTGTAACTATTTGTTCATTAGGTATATAACTATAGCGGGGAATAAAATCATCGAAAACTCATTTATAAGTAAATTAAATTCCGTCCACTTTCTTAACGTCAAACATGTTATTCAATTCTTTGATTCAGTCTAACGTATGTAATTATTTAATGTATAAGTAATAACTAGTTTCTGAAAAAAAATTACTTAATCTAATACTTTTATTTTCTCACAAATTAAATTATCAATTTTTTAATATAATAATTTATGATTAAATGCAAATGAAAATTTTATACCGTTAATGTATTTAAATTAATTTTTTTTTGTTATACTATTAAGTTATCTGTAGATTGCATGAATATAGTTAAATTAAAATAATATTTTAAAGTAAAAAAATTATATTACATAATTAGTTTAAAATTTGATAAATTTTAAATTGATATTTATATTATTAATAATAAATATTTTATTATATTAAATCGAATAAAAAGATAAATTTAAAATATTTAAAACTTAAGTTTAGGTTAGATTTAAAATAAATGTTAAATACTAGAGAAATCACATGAAAAAGAGAATAATTTTTAAAATAGTTCTTGTTTCGTAACATGACTAACATTTAATATAAACAGATAACATAGTATTTTTACACCATACTTTTATAATAAATCAACCTTTTAACCTTTGTATTGTAAATGAAAATTTATTACTTTAAAAATGTGAAACAACTCTTTTTTCTCACATATATACTTTAATATTAAAATTAATTAAAAATAATCTGTAGATTACACTTTATTTTGCTACAATAATTTTGTTTTTACTTATATCTTCGTTATTTTTATTCTAAATTTTAAAAATTAAATTTGTTTACTTTTAAAACTCTTTAGCTATTAAATTTTCAGATAATAATATATATTGATTATCAGTATTTAATTAAAAATTTAATACTATATAATAAATGTATTATCTTAAAATAAATTGTATTTTCAAATTTTTTATCATATTAAATCTTTATTATCTTAATACATATTATATGTAGTTATAGAGTTACATAAAAATAATTAAAAAAACAGTATTTTAAAATAATTTTATTATATATAAAATTATTTAAAACTAAAAAATTTTATTCTTTAATAATTAAATTTTAGAGTCTTGGAGAGAGAAGTCCTATATATATATATATATATACTTTAAAATAAAATACCAGTGCATTATACGACCAATTAAACTAATCAACTTCTATAATAGAGCTACTCTTATTTATAGTTCAATGCGTTTATATTTTATGATTAAAATTATTTGAAAATATTGTGTAAATTACTCTATCATAATGTAATAATTTTTTTTGTTAATTTGATCTTTATTTTTGGAGATTAAAAGTATTATTTAATATTTTTATATTACTTTATATAAAATTTATATTTATATATATATATTTTTTTATTATTTTATATAAACTTTCAAATTTCTGGTAAGTACTTAGTATATTTTGATGTTTCATATGTGTAAAATTTTACTCTTTAACTATTAAATAATATATATTTATTTTAAAATAAAATACTTTCATAAAAATTTCTAGCAAATTATTATTACAAAATCTCTCTGAAAGGGTTGTTTTAAATCGTTTTCGTATTCAAATAACCAATTGATAAAAGTCGGAAGCAAACCAGGCAATAGCATATATATGAAATGGTGGTAAACTTTTTTTTTTCTTTATTTTTCTTGGCATCTTTAAACTTCCGAGATATTTTTTCACTTTTACCTTTCTCTTTCAAAAGCCATATAAAATACAAAAAGATAATATAATTTTTTTTTGTTTATATACGTAAAAAAAAATACCTCCATTTTAACATTTTATATAAAATTTCTTTTGATGTATAAATACTCCTTAATGTGTAGAGATTACCTAAAGAAACTTTGTCTCTTCAGCCCATTCATAAAGTCAAGAATTGAATACTTAACTTTCTATCGATTGTGTCTAAATTTGATCTGTCCAACCCATTCATAAAGTGATTAACTATTTTCAATATAGAGAAATATATAACTGCAATTTCAAGTATAAATTTTTCTTTGACTATGTTACTGTTTTTTCCTTGCTTGGTGAAAATATACCAAGAAGTAATGAGAACTTCAGAAAAGAAATCGTAATTTCTTTTTCTAATAATAGATAGAATGAACAAAATATATTATCTACAATGACTAGTATTAAAAAAATAACAAACAATACTTTGTACAATTAGTATTTAACATAAGTAAAGTTTTAAGTATAAATAAAAAAATGTTTGAAACTAAAATATAAGAGGTTTAGATCTTGAAAGCAAAAACAAAATCTATGAAAAATAAAAAGAATTAATTTGAGATTAAAAAACATAAAAACTAAAAGTGATTAATTTAAAAAAATATTTAAATCAATTAATAATTTGAAAATTTTAAATATAAGCTATAAGCGCTAAATAATTGTGAAATCGTGTGTTGCAAGTGAAAATAAAATAAAACATATCCTTACATTCAAGAGTAAGGATATACATTTATGATATAGTAAAGATGGATAAGAAAAGTATATCACGTAAAAATAAATGTAAAATATAAATTTATTACTATTCGGAATTATTTTTAACATTTATTTTCAATTGATTTCCTTGTATATATAATGACAAGTATTATCTTATTTTTATATTATTGAATAATTAAAATAGGTCACTTGTTAACATTAACACTGATTTATTAACAAAAAATAAAAATAGCAACAAACCATAAACTGAAGTTCATTATATAATTTGTTACATTATCCTGATCGCTAATTACACATTACTTTTTTATATCCTGCTGTTGAGGTTGTCATTTAAGTTAACCATTTAAAAACAATATTTTTGAAAGATCATTTTAACTTTTCTAGATATGACCAATATATTGTCATTATTTAATTTAGACAAACGTTAAAACATATTTTCTAACAAATTATAAGTTATTAATTCCAATTTTAAATATAAGATTATTTTATAAGAATTAAAGAAAAACTTTAATGAAAATATAAATTTAAATTATTTTTAAAAACTATTCCCAAAACTATTAAAATTTATAACAACTCTTTTTATACTGAATTAATTACTTTATCTTATTTAAGAATATTTTACCGAAAACTTAATTTATCCAAGCAACAACTTTTAAGAAGTCTTGTTCAAAGAACTACGACAAATTTTGTAAAAACCTTTATATTAGATAATAAGTAATATGAAATAATAAAATTTATTAAAAATCATTAAACTAAAAGTGAACTTACATATATTTTTATAATTTTAATAAATATTAAAATTATATTTAAAATAATGTTTATTATTTATTGACCTTTGTCGCGTGATGCACATGAATTCAATTGATAGATGTTTATTTCAATTTAATCTGTCGCTTGAGTTTAAATCATATTGAGTAATGTTCCAAGGAAAAATTTTGTTGTATATAACAGTATTACTTGATTCAATCCAGATTGCTTCTGATAAAAATTATATATAGTTTAGTGAAAAAACTAAAACAAGACTTTCAGATATAATTTATTACGTTCTCTAATTTTTTCTTGTGGAGCCTATTTTTAATGTTTTTATAATGTGGTTGTCAACTTAATTACAGCATTCTGAACATCATTTAGAAGATATTTATGGCCCGTCCAAACTAAGCTTTTATGATCTTGTAACAAGGCATGGCTACCACTTTATGTTCTTCATACGTGCTTCTATTGTTATTCTCAACTTTCCTTCTCATAAGTTTCCATGCCAATTCAATTTACTTCCAAATTCCTCTTTTCAATTCTAATGATTCCAACATAACCTATCAAGGATCTGCAGCGCCGCGTGATGGAGGAGTTGCATTTAACGTCAATGACAATTATCTATATCAAGTTGGATGGGCCACTTATGCTAAAAGGGTGTTACTATGGGAGTCAACCACAGGTCAACTCACTGATTTCACAACTCATTACACCTTCTTTATTGACACTCAGGATCAACCTGCCTTTAAGTATGGTGACGGACTTGCCTTCTTCCTAGCTCCTGTTGACATTGAAATCCCACCCAATTCTGCAGGTGGGTTTCTTGGCCTTTTCAACTCTACAACTAAGAATTCAACTAAAAACCAAATTGTTCTAGTGGAATTTGATTCTTACCCAAATTCTGAATGGGGTGAGACTGTGCAGCATGTGGGAATCAATAGTAATTCAATCATTTCATCAGTGTGGACTCGTTGGAATGCTAGTCAACATAGTGGTGACACTGCTGACGTTTGGATAAGCTACAGTTCCACAGCCAAGAATTTGAGTGTATCTTGGAAATACGGAAGCACCTCTGATCCTCAAGAGAAAACTACTCTATCATATCCAATTGATTTGATGAAGGTTTTGCCTGAATGGGTTACGATTGGATTTTCTGCAGCAACAGGTCTATTTGAAGAAAGTCATAATCTTTTATCATGGGAGTTTAATTCCACTTTGGAAGGCAAAGGTGGGAATAACACAAGTAAGACAAGATTAGTTATGATTCTAACTATCTGTTGTGGTGTTATAGTAGTGGGAATAATTGGAGCAGGTGGATTCCTTTGGAGGAGGCAAAAGAAAAGCAAAAAGGAAGCGGCTATGAATTTAACCTCAATCAATGATGACCTTGAAAGAGGAACAGGGCCAAGAAGGTTCTCTCATAGGGAGCTTGCTTTGGCTACAAACAAATTTTCGAGTGACAGAAAGTTAGGTCAAGGTGGGTTTGGAGCTGGTTTTAAAGGTTATTTTGCTGACATAGATTTAGCAGTTGCTGTGAAGAAAATATCAAGGGGCTCCAGACAAGGGAAGAAAGAGTATGTAACTGAGGTCAAAGTGATTAGTCAATTGAGACACAGAAATCTTGTGCAACTCATAGGTTGGTGCCATGACAAAGGTGAGTTTCTGCTTGTTTATGAGTTCATGCCAAATGGTAGCCTTGACACTCATTTATTTGGTAGAAGGACACCTCTTCGTTGGAGTGTGAGGCACAAGATAGCTCTTGGATTGGCCTCTGCTTTGCTTTATCTGCATGAAGAATGGGAAAGATGTGTGGTTCATAGGGATATTAAATCAAGCAATGTTATGTTAGATTCTAATTTCAAAGTCAAGCTTGGTGACTTTGGGCTGGCTAGGCTCATGGACCATGAACTTGGACCTGAAACAACAGGGTTAGCTGGAACCTTCGGATATTTGGCTCCAGAATATGTGAGTACAGGCAGGGCCAGCAAAGAGTCAGATGTGTATAGTTTTGGGGTGGTTGCTTTGGAGATTGCTACGGGAAAGAAAGCTGTTGATATTATAAAGGATAAAGATGAAGAAAAGGGTTTTCTTGAGTGGGTTTGGAATTGTTATGGCAAAGGGGAGGTGCTTATGGCCATGGATGAGAGATTGCAAAATGATTTTGATGATAAACAAGTGGAGTGTTTGATGATGGTGGGACTGTGGTGTGCTCACCCTGATATGAATTTGAGACCATCAATAAGACATGCAATTCAAGTGCTTAATTTTGAGGCTGATATGCCAAACCTTCCATCAAAAAGACCTGTTGCAACATATAATGCTCCTACATCGCCCCCAACTTCAGGAGCAGATTCCATAACAAGAAGCCTTCAAATTGGTCGTTGATACCGCATCAAGGATATATCGATGAACGCATTGTGTTGTGTTAAATACATCTTGTGCCCCGACTAGCTTATCATAAGTGTCATGACTTGTACCAAAACCAACTTTTTCTTGCTTTAGCTTTGGATATATAAGGTTTGTAGTGTGATATATATTTTAATGAATAAAAGGATATAAGGTTAACAATTGCTTGTATTCAGTAGTATGAACACTTAATTTGATCGATTTGATTTTTCATTATGCTCTCCCTTTTAAAATTTGAGTAAGGATTCCTATAGAAATAGAAATGAGACTATTAAGTTGTTACATGAAGCGATCCGTGAAATAATAACTTTAAGATTTTTAAATCTTTAAAATTGTTGTCATTTCGGCTGTCATTTATAACTAACCATTGTTTGATGTTTTCATGTTTTGACATGATAAAAAAAAATAAACTAACGCGTTAATAAAAATTATAAAAAGAAAATCAATAACATATGAAAAATAAGATTAAAATAAATACAACTCTTCTCAAAATCTTAAAAAGTGTTGAGTTAGAATCTCATTTTAATTAAGGATTATTGTGATTCCGGAGGATCCAACTATAGGAGAATTGAGAACGAAGAGCTTTCCCCCTCATTTTCCACCAAACTTTTTGGTCTTAAAAATATTTATTTTTAAGAATGAGTTATTACTCTCTTTCCACTCTTACTGGATATAAACAAATAATACTAACCAAACAAATAATAAAATCCACCTAAAAATAACTAAGTTCATAAAATTTTCATTTTCAGCAGGTGCTTTTGGCAAGAAAGAAAACAATTGAGTATTTGATTGAAAATTATAATTTAATTACTTCATTTTACAAAAAACAGTGTAAAGATTTGGTTAATAGTACAAAAGAAATGTTATGTACTAACGGAGGTTGGTCCAAGTGATAAGCGGTTAATGTAACACCCTCAATTTTGTGGCCTTTATATAGAAAAATATGAGTTTTGGGTGCATGGTATCTCGCTATAGCGAGATATCTCTTGTTGTAGTGAGAAAGATGCGTCAAGAATCAAGCATTATGATACTCTCTCGCTGTAGAGAGGAGCTCTTGCTATAGCTAGAATGACAGACAGCAAAGGAAAATTTTATTTGATTTTTTCATTGCAGCGAGAAAATAACTCGCTGCAGCAAGAGATAGGTCGTTGTAACGAGAATAACGTAAGTTAAGGGTATTTAAGGGCATTCAACCTAGGAAACTTGGATTACAATCCAAAATCCGATCTCTCCCCTATTCTCTCCGACCTCTCACCCTCTCTTATCAGAAATCCTCCTCTAAACCTTAATCTTCCTTCGAATCCATGCTTGAGAGCTCAATCATTTAGATCCAAGTAAGTTTCCTTGAGCTTAGTTCTTTAACTTCATTCTTATTTCTCCATTTTATCTGATCTAAAGGTTTATGCTTTGTGATACTCAAGGAAGCCTTAACCCTTAAGACGATATTCTCAATTGGGACATTGTGCCTCTCCCTTATATCTCTAAGAAAACTCGATCTGAGAGACTCATTTCCAAGTAAGGGGAGTGATCTCAAACTCTAACTTTCCTTTAGTATTTTGATTTAAAAATCTCATGATTATTTTCAGAACTATCTAAATATAAATTGTAGCAAAAACTCTGAAAAGAATCGTTTTGAGAATATTAGGATTTTACTAAGAAACATGGTTTTGAGTTAATACAATTACTATTTTACATTTTTAGAATGACAAACTTACAGTGAATATTGGGTAATGTTAGAATTTAGGATAGACAACTTTGTTATTACTAAAAAAGTATGTATGTTAGATTGTACGTGTCTCAACCGGGCGGTGGCAATGGTACAGTGAAAACGTGTTTAAAAAAAATATCTTTCAAGAATAAAAATATTTTTCTAAAAATCAGAGGAGTTGCCACTAAAGTTTATTTTAAAAAAACCTTAGAATTTTTTTTTTTAAAATAACATGATCTTTGAAACCAAAAATGAGTTCGGGAGTTATTTACGTGTAGGGAAGGTATTAGCACCCTACAACGTCCATTTAAAATGGTTACCTTAAATTTCATCTTAATTTTGAAAAAATATTTATTTAACTCCTAAACATTAATTATTTTTATTTTAGAAGAAGAAAAATTATTTATTAAAATGTTAACTTTGTATCTAAGAAAATATTTTTAAAAATTATTTTGACTTGACGGGTTCGGTTCCTACTCCTACGTATTCCCGGATATAATGGAGAACTCAAAGTCACTTAGTTCTATCTAAAAATTATGAAGTTGATTGATTGAAATTATTTTAGTAAAAGAAGATTATTTTTGAGATTAAAATTAATTTATATGATAATATTTGTGATACAAGATAATGCGGTTATACATGTATCCTACGAGAAATAATACAGAAGGTGAAGGAAGATCACACAACTATATTACAAATCGAAAAAAATAAAAATAAAAAAATAATTGTTTTTATTTGTAATAAAATATTAAAATAACTATATTACACATTTAAATTTGAAGATTAAAAAAAATAAGAGGTAAAATCTTTTTATTTTTATTGAATTCAATCAAAATATACTAAAAAAGAAAAGAGAACTTAAATCTTAAGAAAAAAAAAAGGGTCCACAAATCTGTCAACTATGAAAAAGTAACTTGGATCAAGTCAAATCCAAAAGCAAATGCTATGAAAGTGCGAACTATATCCAATAAAAAAATTAAAAAGGCATGAAACAATACACAACGAAAGCCAAAAGCTGAAACATAATATCTATCTATCAAACTTTGCGTATGGCAATGCGATAACAGTTCCTTTCATTTCATGAAACATAATTTTTATCTATCAAACTGTACATATGGCAATGCGATAATAGTTCCTTTCATTTCACGACAGTAAAAAATAATGTACTATTATTTAATAAAATAAAAATAAAAATAAAAAATAGAAATAAAATAAAATAAAATGTAATAGAAACCGAGAGTCATGCTTTTTCCATCACTTAGTTATTTTGTAACTTTTTAACATATAACTCCTTCATTATATCATTTTGCATTACAGATATGTTGAATAATTACTATGAGAGTAAAGGAATACCTGAAATAAGACTTAACTTGACGAGGTGTAGCTAAAATAGTGGGTAAGGCTAACGGAAGCTCTTGTGGTGGTCAAATAACACTGATTTTTCTCTTTTTTTAATATTTTTTCTCTCTAAAAGCACTTGTTCCTCATTTTTGATATTTTCTCTTCTGAAAAATCTCCTCCTCCCTTGTTGGGTTTTGTTTTGATGAACTTTTTCTTTCCTTTTTTTTTTTTTTTCAGATCTCTCGAAGAAAGAATTTTTAAACAAAGTTGTCATTCCTAAATTTTTTTCCTCCCCCTCTGAAAGCTCTCCTCCTCAAATCCCTTAGAGAGACTTGTTGTCTCTCCTCTAAAATGTTTGAAAACTTGATCTCGTCTCTCTAAAATATTTTTGGGTTTCTTTCTCAGAAAAAAAAAAAAAAAGAACCCCCACACTGGATCTCTTACTTGTGCTTTTATATTGATACATTTAGGGTTTTTGCAAAACGCCAAAGGTCCTAAGTTTTTCCTTTTTCATGATTAGAATTGGTTTTTGATATTGGGGTATAAGCTTGTATAGTGCAGACTTCTGTTTCCAGGAAACAAAATTTTTGAAATTTTTTTTCATTCTTCTATAATACAAATTTATTATTTTGTTTTTTATATATTTTTTTAAAAAATTTAGAAGCAAAAATTGGTTTTCACAGTTGCCTCTCTTTATTGAATTTTTATCAGATAACATGTATGAACAAGTTTCATATTACAATGATAAAAATTGAGTAAAAATGTGAACCAATTTTTGTTTAAAAATGATAAGATACATAAAAAGAATGGAGAAAAGAAAAGGAAAAAAAATGATAAGATGTTAGATGAGCCATGATTTGTGATGGTTTGTGTTTAACAAATAATAACAAGAATTATAAGACAACATTAACTTTGACTAAAAATAAAGCTTGCCAAGCAGATACTAGGCTTAGGCTGAGAATAAAAGTTTCAAGTGAAGTAAATCAAATTCTGGACCCTTGACACTAAAATGAAAAGGTGAGACTGGTCACTTTCTAGACCTTGACAAAAGAAGTGAAAGGTGTCAGTTAGGTTCTGCTTTAAAAGAGAAATGAAACACGACAGTCAGGTTCTGAGCTTTGACAAAGAAGGGAAAGGTGCCAGTTAAGTTATGGGCTTTGACAAAAGAGTAAAAGTATTCTAGTTTGGTTATGAACTTTAATAGAAAAGTAAAATGTGTCAAGTACGTTCTAGGCTTTGACAGAAAAGTGAAAAGGTGTCAGTCAAGTGCTGGACTTTGACAGAAAAATAAAATATGCCAATTTGGTTTTGGGCTTTGACAGAAAAGTTAAATGTGTCGTTCAGGTGCTGGGCTTTGATAGAAAAATAAAATATGTCAGTCAGGTTCTAGACTTTGACAAAAAAAAGTAAAGAAATTTTGATAAGAAATGTAAAGAAAACCAATTAGGTTCAAAAAAATAAAAAAAATCAGACAACATTTGAACATCTTACAGTAAGAGTGAGTTAGGGAGGTAAAAAGATCAATCAATTTCTAAATTTTGATGATAGGTAAAGTATCAAGTCAAATCCTAGACATGGACTAAACATAAAGGTTGTAAGATAGATAATAGATAAAAACAAATACATGCTAATGTAATGATGTGATTGCATAAACTAGATGAATCTTAACATATGGAGAAAATTAATGCATGGTGATGTTAAATGATGTGGCGAGACAATAAATTAAAATAAAGTTTTTTTTTGTTGGGATCTTACTTTTCAACCTTATCAGAACATGCATCTCAAGGTTCATGAATGAGTATGCTTTTCGGTTAGAATCAAATCTTTAATGAAATTAGAGCTATGTAAGGAATCAATCAAATTGGACTGCCATTTATTTTTGAATTGGCAAGATAAGCCAACTTCTTCTGTCACATTGTACTTATGAGGA